TGTGTCTGAGATTACTAGTTTGTACTATAATTCGCATACTCTTAAATATCACAACAAGAGTTGTTGTATAGGGTTGTTGTGATATTTAAGAGTATGCGAATTATAGTACAAACTAGTAATCTCAGACACAACGCAATTTATTCGAGAAGTATTGGATGAGCACGAACCAATGTACTGTATTATGAATTGAAAGTGAAAACAGTCATCAATACAAAGAAATGATTGATTCATATAAACATCACATCCTCCATAGCTCAAATTGGAGTGTAATTGTCTGTAATCGATTGTTCGTCTTCTTCTTAAGTTCATCTTGTGTCTGTCCGACAATGTATTGGATGTAGACTCTGTATTATCTAGAATGCACTCGTTAGTATTAGAATTAACAACCGAAATTGGAACAGACTCACCTGGGTCCTGGAATTGTATTTGACCAACATGTCGGTTATGTGTAGTCAAGTCATTGATATCTAGAATCCGCACCATAGATTTTCCAACATTCTTCACCACAATCCCCGTGGCTGGTCGAAGATCATTCCCACGATAATAAATAACTTCTGCAGACTCCAAACACCTCATATTCGAACGAAGAATTCTTCCTTTTAATAGCTTTGATGAAGTCTCTTTCGTCAAAGAGTGTTTAGCATTTCTATATAGAAGTAGAAATGTATCTACTCCCCTCTCCAGTTCATTAAATGTTGAAGCAGCAATAGAATCAATAGCAGTTTTCAATATCCTGACAAAATTTTCTGCCTTACCATTAGAACAAGGGTGCCTGGGAGCAGTAAACAGATTTCTGCACCCTATACCATTCAACCAATTAGTGACTGCATCCGCAGCGAAATGAGAGCCATTATCAGTCACTAATATCATAGGAACCCCTTCTCGACTGAACACCTTCCTTAATGCTTGGATTGTGAAGTCAAAATTTGATGAAGTTGTGAAAAAGACTTCAGGCCACTTAGAAAAAGAATCAAGTGCATAGTATTTGCCAAGAAATGAACCACAATAGTCTGCATGAATTCTCTGCCAAGCCTCAAACGATGCTGGATATGAAGTCCACTTCGAAGGCTGACTTTTCAACTTATGACATTTTTCACAATTGTTTGCTGTACGATATATATCTGCATTTATCTCTGGCCACCAACATGAGTCTTGTCAAGGACTTCATTTTCTCAACACCTAAATGTCCACTATGACGATCTTCAAGGACAGATTTACATCATGATGGAGGAATAACAACACGATCATTTAGACACAAAATACCATCAGGAGTAGTAGATAACTCATCCCACTTTGAGTAATAGACAAGAAATCTACGTTTCTGATTAGCATTCCAACCTTTCCGTATAGCACTGAGTATACATCCAAAGTATTTACGAGTTTCTCTAATGAGATCTGGACGTCTCACCAGTAAAGGTTGTACTAACGAACAGTGTGAAGTATTAACAGGTTTGTCTTGCAATAATTGTCGAGATATGTAGTCAACGTGTTGAATTTGTTTGTTACTCCTGCGTTGAACCATATAGTCATAGGCACTCAAAGCAATACTCCATCGTTGAACCATAGCAGCTGAGGAACGTGCTAAGGATTTTTCAGGATGATAAATGAACTTTAAAGCTTGTTGATCAGTAACAATGGTGAACTTCTTTCGAAATAAATATTTATGAAGTCTTTTAACAGCCCAAAATACAGCTAATGCTTTTCGCTGAGTTTGTAAATAACCTTGTTCAGTAACAGTAGGTTTGCGTGAAACACAGATAACTGATCTACCTTCCTGTTCCAAAACTGCACCAATACCCACAGGTGATGAGTCAGTAATAAGTACAGAATGTACACTGGGTGAGTAAGCTCGAATAACAGCATCACTTTGAAGAAACTTTGGCAGACTTCGCAAGCATAACTTTTGTTCCTCACCCGATTTGCATGAATTGGATGTCAAAACATCAGATAAACAGTTGGTACGACAAGAAAAATGAAGAATAAAACGGGAATAGTATTGAAGAGCACCCACTAGTGAACGTAGTTCTGTAAGATTTTTTGGAGACGGCGCATTTGTCAGTGGAGCTAGTCGTTTCATATCCGGTCTAAAACCATTACCATCAACTAGATATCCAAGACATTCGAAACTAGATACACAAAATGAACACTTATTTGGATTCGCTGTAATATTCTTCTCAATTAAACGACGCAATAAAGCAATAGGTCTCTGGTCATGAACTACTTTATCAGTACCATGAACGATTAGATCATCTTGATAAACTTCAACAACTTCAGGATCACTGACTACCTTATTCATAACTTCCTGAAATATGGCTGGAGAACAACTTAGACCAAATGGAAGGAAGTTGTATTTGAACAGACCAAAAGGAATGTGAATTGTTGTCAAGATAGATAAAGATTAATCTAAAGGGATTTGAAGATAAGCATCTTGTAAGTCAACTTTCGAAAACACTTTAGAACCATGAAGTCGATTTAGAATATCTTCAGCCTCCATCGTTGTGCACGTTTGCTTTGACAAACGGGAGTTCAGTGTTATTCTATATTCACCAAATATATTTGAGGTCTTGCCATCCGACTTCAATGGCGTAACAATAGGAGTACCTCATGTTGAAGACTGAAGCGGTTCAATTATACCTTTCCAACACAAATCGTTCAATGTCCTATGTACTGTTTCTCGAAGACCATAAGGAATTATTCGTCTTTTAAGAAAGACTGGATAACCCTGTATTTGAAGTTTTATAGGCTAGATTTTCATACCTCCACTACACTTAGAACAAGCAGCTATCAAATCTTTAAGTAAAGCATTAGAATTTTCTTTAGAAACTAGTTAAGGCGATTCCACTTTAAGCCTTTTCAGATTTTTTAAACCCAGTATTGACGGTCCTGTTTCGCTAACTAAAAATTCACAAGGTATATATGAAGAATTATCATCTCCTATTAGCAATTCACAGCATCCGCGTATGGGCAATCTGTGTCTAGTAATTCCCAATATTGAAACCTCAATGAGTCTTACCGCAACATTAGAATCTAAAGGTTTAAAGTTCTTGAATGAAATAATGGACTCTATACTACCTGTATCCACAATAAAGTTATGAAATGAACCAAGGGATGTATATAATCATTTTTGAATATGAACATTACCTTTCGAACCGGTGGATAAACCGGTGATAAATGATCATTAGGAACAGCCTAATTATTGAGATCTAAATTACAAGACTTAATAATACTTGAAGCAAAATGAACAGTAGTTTTGCATATTGACTGAATAGGTCCTATCTCGCCACATTTAAAACATTTAGCATTACGAAATGCACATGAATTACGAGAATGAAATTTGCCACAGGATAAGCATCTACCAAACTTTTTCTCACCTTTGTTGTTCACTTTGCAGTTCCTTTCATATTTTCACGAGAATAGGAATAACTTGTAAATGAACGCAAGTTTGATCGACCCTGAGATTGTATTTCATCATAACGACTGAGCAAAGTATTGGAAATTTTCATCGATTGGATATCAAGTTCATTCACTGCTTCGTAGTTAATACACGCAGTTCTAGCATATTGAAAGGAACAGTTCGGCATCGTTAACAGCTCTTTTTCCACACCTGGTATGTTAATTCCTGCAATTAATCGATCTCTCAGCTGTACATGAAGTTTATCACCAAAATTGCATTTGGTAGCTTGTCTTTGCAATTCAAGGATGAATTCCCTAACCTTTTGGTTATTCTGACGAATCATCTTATGAAGTTTTGCTCTCTCACGACATTCAAAACTGGTGCACTTTACATGATTTAGTAGTAGTTCTTTGAGAGTTGTATAGGGGAGTAAGATAGACTTTTCAGGATATGCCAGTTTTTAATAAACTGTAGACTTCTTTACTGATAAACGTAAGAAAATATGCCATAATTTGATCACCCTTTACATCATTCTTGGTCATGCTCCATATCTCAAACCTTTCAAAATAATCCTCAAAAGCTTCAGAAGTTAAATGAACATCCAACTGTTCTATCGCAGGCACCATCACGACGTCAATGTGACATTTAAGGGTATTTGAACTGTAGTATAAACTATTAATTTCAGAAACAACGCAATTTAATCAAGTATTAGGTGAATACGAACGAATGTGTTGTATTTGGAATTCGAAATCAAGCAATCATGAAGTACAAAAGAATCATTGGTTCATATAAACACTACAGTTCATTCTTTAATTTTTCCATAGTCCCCCGGTTTATTATCTGAATTCAATCGATTACGAAGAGTATCTCCACTTACTCATGAGATATAATGTAGGTCAAAACAGTTACTGTTATACAACCACTTGTTATCGGTTCACGAAACAATCTGTAAACAAATGCAGTTGTTATCGTATTCTTATATGAAAACTAAGTTCAACATTTAAAAAAATATCACATATCATTTGTGAATTCGCTTAGATATATGACTACTGCTAATTACGTGAGATCCTTCATGTGGTTTCTTTTTTTTTCAATGGTTATGTCTACTACATTCAACCAACCATGGATGTGCATTTGTATGGACACACTGATTGACTTTTTTTTGTTTTCAAGAACAAATTGTGAATAGAAGTGACTTTTCATGAATTTTTTTCTGCCCACTTTATTTAAATTCAACACACAAAACCTAATGGTAATAAATCAATAGCACGTGTAAATAAAACAAAATTATTTTTCTCCAGCTGTTTTAATACGATTATGAAATTAAGGAAGTAAATATGCGTATAAATCTTGTGATCCAATCATTTTGTTAAAAACCCAAAACACAAATCAATGAAACCGTTCAACATTGAAACAATAATAAATAAATTGACACATGAATATACGCAGTTATTTCAGCTGATATTTAATATAGATATTCATATAATAAGTTCATTATAATTAATCACCTGAGATCAATCTGTAATGAATACAACCTACAAATTCATATCATTCTCCACAATACCACCTCTACTAAACTGTAATACTCAGATCACCAGTGACTTACCTCAAGAAGTTCTTAAAGTTCTGGTGAGAAGTAATGATTGGTGGAGTTCAGATACGTCGATAGTCAAGAAGTTGTCATCATTATCACTGGATGACTATCATATTCTATCGCGAAATGGTTGGAGTTGATATTTCGGTATTGAATTCTGACTTAGTGGCTCTACTGGTTAAACATTCATTGAGAGAGTTGAATCTCCTGAATTCGATTTGTGTTGAAGTCGTAAATGTTCATTATCAAGTAGTCGAGTACTAGGACGAAGCAACTGTCCAATGATTCTTGGCTCCCAATGATACTTTAGCAGAGATCAACTTGTGAGGAACGCAACCAATAAACGTATGTCAATCCACACAAAGGCTTTTCATTTAGAAATGGATCATTTAAAGCCGGAAATTCAACGTGTAGTCGAAAAATAAGTTTATCGGCAACTATTCCACATAAGAAATAGATGCTAGCTCGCAATTAGATGAAAAGTACCTACACTTTGACAATCGCAGTATTATGTAGACATTTGACTTGTTAAGATTAATGGAAGAACATTAAAGCATTAAACGCAGCTGATTTTTGTTTAACTTACGAGTTAATCAATGTTGTATGCAAACTCATAGAAAGTCACATGACACTATTACTAGATTTGTAGTCACAACTATAAATGAAAATAAGTGGAAGTTATCGATTAATGTAAAAATTCACAAAATATTACACTGGTACATTGATTTGAACACACTAAAAATAACTTGGGTTTGTTATTGAACATGTATTGCGGTGCTGTCGACTTAATGGATAAGATAATTTAATCAAATTACCTAATATTATATAAACCAAGAATAAAAATCAGTGGACATCAATGATTTCTTTTGTTCTTCAAAGTTTTTATTTGTTGAGTTTATTTAATTAACCATTTAGATTGCTAAGATGAAACTCATCAATAAGCTATTTAAATTTATCAAAACGGTAGTTTAATTCATCATTACTAAAATTTAAAAGATATGATCTAATGTGTAAAATGCATATTCCTCAAACATAAATAAAAATACTTTAATTCGCCTATACCAAAGAATATTAACACACATGGCAAAACTACTAATTACTTATTTCTCCACTTAAGACAGTCTATGAAAAAAAATCATACACTAAGCAGCGTGTCACGTCGCACACCATCCGAATTTTTCGGCAACACTGAAACAAAGACTTTCCCCGAGATGGATAATCCAATATCTTGTATGCAACAGGTAGAGTATTCACAGCCAAAAGTGAATAGATATTGGTTTGTTTACAACTTTCTTCAATGCAAGCGATCTGTACGAAGTGTGGTCCAACGTAATTTAAACAATCAACTCACTTGACTAAACAGACTACATCCTGAATTTTCAATGTGCCTTTTAATACTTACTAGATGAAAGTTCCATGAGAACCATATAACCTAATTAATAAATATAATTCATTGTGGGAAACAAGTAGTTATTAGAATAATCCAGGTGTATTTACAGATACAAATTTAAATAAATAATCACCTGTTTATGTAATTCAGTAGTGAGAAAATTAAACAATACAATCAAATATTGCTAAAATGCATAAACAATATACACAGAATAAAAATAGCAGTTGGACACAGAGAAACAAGAAAATCTAAAAATATAACACAATGAGAATATCACTTAGTGGACAACAAAAAACGGTAAACAATGCAAAATTCCATACTAATAATGAGCATTACATACAAAACAGGAATAACATAAGTTATTGATTAGGATCAAAGCCCATTGTGCTCAGATTTATTAAATGACAACACATTTGTGCACAACCGCTGAACCGAAAACCGATATGATATATAAATAAATCTGACAAAAGAGGCAGAAAGGTCAACAAATCGGAAGGTAAACAGGAAAAAACCTCCAAGCTCACTAAAAAACACATAATTGGTAAACAACATTGTTGCTTTGGAGAATAGATGAAAAAAGGAAACTATTTAAAGTTAGCAAACGTAAGCTGAAAATAATTTGTGTATATTCATATTAAACTAAACCTTCATTTTCACAAGTACAGAAAAATATCTTGTTTTGAAAACATAAGGCTATGAACCGGAGCCGAAAGAATTTTCCCCACTGTAGCTTATATATAGAAAGCCATCATCATCGTGAAAGTTATGATATAATTGACCTATTGTGGCACTAAAATGATTGAAAGAAATGAATGAATGGAAAATTATAAACGCATCATCGAAACTCTCCTATACAATATAAGTGAATAAGTATTTCACATTTCGATCCAGACTAATAAGATAAAGAACAAAGAATTACAAAATATGACAGAAAAAAATCTAATTTGCTCCTCGTCAGAGCATTTCAGTTTTATATAACACAATGAAACGTAGACATCCATTAAGCTATGACACTCCTATGTAGATAACTAACTCATCAGGATTATACACAATGCGATGAAGCCACGCAAATATGTGGGTGTTCAGATTACATGAAGTAATTACGGACATTACGAAACTAAACTTAACATCAAAACTACATCTGTTATACCTTGTTTTCAAAACTGTTGTATCCCCTGGCGAATTATGAATCATAAATCTGAGGTCCATTTATGGACAAATGTAATATGCCTATTCCCTATTGGATAGTTGTTAAATAAGTGACCTAATCGTTTCCGTGTTCCTCTTATCATAACCTTTATTTTGACCTTGGAACTATTATTATTGATTACTTTCCCCCTAGCTACAGCCACATTGGCCAATTACTGTACAAATGTTATTTTTCTATTTTTGATATATGTGGTCTGTTTGGTTAGTATATATAACCCAGTATGCTTGTGAATAATGATTCATATTGCTGAGGCTGTTATTTGTGTTCTGGACTTAACGGCTGGGCTAGGCAGATAGGAAGGACCGAAAAGCACCCAAGACTGCTCATACGTATTTTCTGTATCATTGGACATATATATTAAGAGGCCAGAAATCTATACGTTATAACAAAAACATAACGATGAACATTGAAACCTACTACATTAACGGAAATAACATCCGAAAATTGTAATATGTAAAATACTTTTTTTAATAGTACGCGTAGAGATTTCTTTATAGTTTTAAATTCCCTAAGTACTACAATATTTTTGGTCTCGAGCACCTAATAAGGGAAGAAACTATCTCGGCCATTCCAGATAAAAAGTTCTACCTTAATTTTTTACCATTTTTGTAGTTCCGTGTAACTTGCCTGGAAGTGATACCCAGAATATACTCGACTTTCATATTCTAGTAGAGATTCAAATATTCTAAATTTATCAAGTACGTAACTACGCGAGAGTGTGTCTGAGTCCTTTTTTATCTTCTGTTGAATATTTTTTTATACGACTTTTGATCGTCCTGTTGCACCTACTCGCCTTCCGTATCTTTCCGAGTCCTCACTGTTCCGTTAAGTCAGACACCGCACAGACGACTGTCTACTAGGATCCAGTCTAAAAGAGCTAGTCCTGTCCTAGGACTTAATGCTATACCTACGTCAGCGAGGCCACAGGAAGCAGCACCAGGGCTTCCAGATACACGAAGCGTGTATCGAGATGAAACTTTATTTTGATTAGGTGCGGTCGAATGAATGACACTACTCGGATCTTGTATGCGCGTTTCGGAGACGTAGCACACATCGATGGTGTAAGATTCTAGAGTCCTAGTTAAGGAAGCCTGTTGTCCTATTTGACACAATGTTCGGACATTAAAAGTTCCTATATGTAGTTTAGAGCGTGGTTTCAGGAGACCAGGAATAACGTTCCGTGTACTTGAATCGTATGCCCTACGGGTGCGAGGTGATAAAAGGACGTGAGAAGGGTTAGTCGTGGAGATAAGTTATTAGGTGTAGGAAGGATTCGAATATGACCAACTTGGTCTCGTGTGCTGTTGCGGGTATGAGGACTAATATCACTTCCCGACTGCCCACACAGTCGAAGGGTATTTTCTTGAGACCTGAAAAGGAAGTTGGATTAATGTTGGTCTTGACGACCTGGGAGCGTGACCGTAGAGTTCAAGGGACTGTTTGAAACCAGTCACGCGCGGCCTTTTTGTGAGGGTTTTTTGATGTGTTATCTCTGTTCTTCAAAGGACCTTACCACCGGAGACGGAAATCCTTGAGGTAAGGTGAGGCGTGACATTCTTAGGGTCAACCTTTTCTAACCCCTTCCTTCCTTGTGAGAAGGCAGCATTGCTGCAGATGCTGGTTGTCCGAGTGAAACAACTTACTGCTATCACACCGCTCTAGTTAGCAGTACGACTTCGCCCTCAAACCTTGAGTTGCTGCTTTTAGTCTTAGCGTTCTCCAATCGACCTGCCTAGCGTGGCAGAACCTACAGGAACATACGTTCAAGCCAATATAGTTCAGTTGGGTCATTACGGTAGGCAAGGTAGCAGCTACGGTCGGGATTATTTCAACAAGCGTTCGTATTTTATGTTAAGTGGTACCACTTCTGTCCAATCTAAAAGCAAGGCGTTAAAGATACAGAATAAATTAGGGATTATTCATAGGAATTTTAAATATCTACGAGACAAACAGTTATCGTGTCTTTTGATGGAGTTTTGTTCAGCTCAGAGAACAAAACTCCACCAAAATCATTCATCGGAGCTACAAATCTTCTCCACCATCTCAAGTTATTGTGCATATTAAGTCGAAAACATCTGATTATAATATTTTGTGTAAACAAGAACTTTAAAAACTGAATCAAATCGTAAATTGATTAATATACCTTGTTTGAGGCATATTTTTCTCAACAAAAAGAAAAAGGGCTTTTTCTGATGAGATATCAATACGTTTTCGAATGATCCACATAAACTGAGCGACTGTAACATCGTCCGGAACAAGAAACTTATGTTTGTCAATATCGGGTATTTGCGAATGGCGATGACGTTCCACGACGACCTGTAAAAAAGATGGAAAGGAGTTGAAAAGTGACACGTATTGACTTTAGCTTGAGCAATAATTTTGTGCAAACACAATTAAAACTTAATACAATCTTGATGTGTACTCTGTAACGCACTCCCATACAAGGCATTCTTTTACGTTGGTGATAAATATCTACATCCTACTTAAGTTAATCACAGATAGGATCCTAAGCTGAACTTTAAAACAACATGATGAAAAGATGGTTTAAAAAATGTGACAATAAAAATAACGACTTAGCTGAGTAAACCTCGAAAGGAGTAGAGTATTAAAGATTTGAAGGACAGTATGAGGTTATTGTCTTTGTGATCATTTTAAAACCACGCCACTTAAGGTTTCAAACATTTGCAAACTAACGGGAAGATATATGGACCCGGATGTCGAGAGTGCGAATTGTGGACCATGGTTTATTGTCACGTCTTACTAGGCCAATTTAGGCCCCAACATGATTATATTGTCTATGTGCATTATAGAACACGGTAGAGTGAAATTAGATATGAACTATATGACGGCAGAATGCTCTGGTACGGTCGAGGGTGTGAAAAGTCCGCTCTCCCTGTCGAAATGCTCCCACATAGCCTTATGTGTACAGCCACTGTCATGGATGTCCTACTCACTGTCTTCTCGTCGCGGGGGTGTTGTTTACGAAATTGAGAGGACAAAAAGCGAATATCCGAGGCTTTAACCGAGCTGGTGGACACGGAAAGTTCACCTAGGAGAGTTGAGAAACCCTGATTCCAAACCAACAATGCACATGGATTCCGGGATCTTGAGGAAACAAATGACATATGAATCAATTGTTGGCCACAATTTACACTGAACTACATATCCTCACGATGCTCCGCTTCCTTGTGGGCCAGACCATTAGGTCAAATGCTCGGGGTGTGGCTCTCTAATAAAACGACTTGCTTCGGTCTGGGCACCCGGGCAGTATCACAGCCCATACACGATTAAAATGCAATGACAACTCTGTGTGGCGCACATATATCTGGTGCCCCCCTGTACCAATATTTATATGTTCAAATAAATAAATAGTAAATGCCTCTGAACACCAAAAATTAGATTGTCCTATATATTTAGACGTTTCCGAAATTACCATACGGATTTTAACGCCACTCGAAGTCAATGTTGCCCACAAATCAATAACCATCATTTCATTCAATTTCATGCAAACCGGAAGACGCAACAGAAGAAACATGGAACACTGCCTACAAAATAAATTGTACCAACCCAAAGTATTATACTGGGCAGAATGGATGCTTTGTTCACCTATACAATTACACATATTAGCAGTGATAAAGGAATATGCTTTCATTCATATCAAAAAATGAGGTGGAATATAAACCTAAATTACCTTGTTTTTCAACGAACTCATATTGTTTTGAATAATATCTAAGTCTAATCTTGTTTAGTATTTCCGATACTCTGGGATTTGTCCCAACAATTTTATCTTGCTGTCCTAATGTAGTGCAGTAGTTCGAGTTCGTGCATGTATACCAGATTTTGTTGCTTATGACTAATCGATGAATATGGACAACAGTTTGATGTCAAAATCCTGGATCAAAGAGACTTCATCAATATCAGATAATTTCTGGGGGCAAAGCATTAAGATCAATTACCAATCAAGACAAAGACATAGGTCCTTTATATTCACCCGTATATAAGAGGTTAATCGTTCGAAAAGTCACAAGTTTAGTAAATATGAAAACCAACTGGAATATAACGTAGGAAGACGATAAAAATTATAAAAAGAAAACCGACTGAAAAGTCATCAGAACACTGATGATATGGACCAAAACGACAGCGAAAGCTTCGCAGTTAAGTCTTTTAGATCAAAGAACTAACTATTACCAAAAAGAATGTGTTAATTTTGCAAACTACTCAAGGACTCAATTCAACAGAAATAGATAGTTATGTGCAAAAATCTGCTTTAACTAAGCTACTGACAAATATTAGCTATTGTAAACCAACAACTCAAAACAAACATTTTTTTATTTATGAATAAATAATATATTTGTAATATCCCAATGAGTAGAAAGGTTAGATTTTCTGACGTTTCGTGACTCAGTGTAGGCCACGTCTTCAGAGAATAGATATTATTTATTTATAACAATCTAACCAATACTCAATTTATTCGAAAAAATTAAGTCAAACCTTGACGATGATACCTATTTTCGGCGCGACTGTATATGCATAATAAAAATATCTAACAACCGGAGTACACACAAGCAATATTGAAGCTATCTGGTAGAGGCTGAAAGAGTTTTTGGGATCTTATCATGGTTCCAGAGACCGACTATTATGCAGCCATAAGGATGAGTTCATCCACCTGATGCATTACGATTTTAGAACCTTTGAACCTCTTTGTTACCTTGACAAGTTTTTGGGCCATGTGAAAGAAGTGTATCCACTTTCATTATTTGGTTTTGTATAATATATTTTTACTCCATACTGTCTGTTTACTGATTGGTTAATATTTTTACTTAAGATTCGTTCAAAGGTCGTCCACAAACATTAGTCTCGCTCGATTTTTTATTTGTTATTCAATGTAATAGTTGAGGTCTAATATTTCAGTTGAATGAGACCTTAATCAAGAGATGGGGGTGACTAGTTGCATTAGTATGTTGTCTGTTTTAGGTCCTTTCTGTAAGCTAAGAATATCTTACATGGGAGGAATCGGCGAATTGGGGCGTCCACAAAAATTAAACTTACGCATGACTGCTTTCTACGTAGTCACCTAAATTCTTCAAAGCAAAAACAGTTCTGTTGGGGCCATCTAATTTATTTATTTAAACACATATATATTGGTACAAAAAGGGCACCAGGTACATATGCGCCACACAAAATAATGAAAGTAGGTAGATAAAGGATGAAAAGATAAGGCGGACTGAAATGTACAACCAGAAGATTCTTTCAGTTAGGAAAGTTAGAACCATTCTTTATGTAGAAAGTAAAAGAAGGTTGCAGCAGGATCGCCACTGGCTTCTATTCTGAGCCATATCTGATAACGTCTCTAGCCACTGTGTTGCACTATCTCTCGGACCCCAACCAGGGAGTCGTGAAGGACCAACGGAAGCTAGCCCTTTGCAGCTCTCTTTCATGCCACGACACCATGTCATACACTGACCTCCTCTCCGCTTTCTCCAACCAGTCCCAGGGTCGGCAAATAATGCACGACGCGGAAGTCTCTGGGACGACATTCGTAAAACATGTCCGAGCCACCGAAGTCGGTGTTTCAAGATGGTGGCACAAATTGAATTATCGTCTCTGCGCCCGAACACACGATGCCGAACCTCTGCATTACTAACATGGTGTTGCCACTGGATGTCAGCAATCCTTCGGAGACAACGATGATCGAACACAGAGAGACGTCTAACATCCTCAACTCGGAGAGGCCAGGTTTCACAAGCATAGAGCAAAACTGCTCTCACCGACGCGTTGTAGATCCGACCTTTTACAGCCAGACTAACATCACGAAGGCGCCAAAGATGGCCCAGATTGGCATAAGCCGCTCTGGCTTTCATTATACGTGCATCAATCTCATCACTCACGCCACCACCAGCACTTATATAGCTACCTAGATACAAGAACTTCTCAACTACTTCGATCTCCTCACCATCCAGGGTGAGTACAGGATGAGAATCCTGCCAGTCTTGTAGGAGTACTTTGCACTTGGAGGGTGCAAAGCACATGCCGTACCTGCGGACACTGATTGCCAACTGATTAAGTGCTGATTGCATGCCTTGGGCATTATCGCACAGTAAGACAATATCATCCGCATACTCAAGGTCGAGAAGTCGTTCTCCAGGCAACATATCCACACCGCCATTACTTACATCCATCAGAGCTGTTTCTAGGATGTCGTCGATGGCAAAGTTGAAGAGGGATGGTGAGATTGGGCAACCCTGCCTAACCCCACTGCTCGAATGGAACAAGGGAGAAAGGTGGTTGTATACCCTCACTCTGCCTGAGGTGTTCGTATACAGGGCCTTTAAGATGTTAATGAACTTCTCAGGCACACCCTTCTTCAATAGACAATCCCAGAGAACAGTCCTGTCCAACGAATCGAAGGCCACCCTGGTATCAAGAAACACTACGATTGTTGGCCTGCGATAAGTATGACGGTGTTCTAACATTTGGCGGAGGGTGAAGATGTGATCAATGCATCCTCGACCAGAACGAAAACCAGCCTGCTCCTCGCGAGTCAATCGTTCTCGGGTTTTAAACAACCTACGAAGAATGATAGAAGCCAATAGTTTGGACGCGATCGAAAGTAGACTTATCCCCCGGTAGTTATTGCAGGAACAACGTGAACCCTTTTTAAAGATAGGGACGACTATTGACTCATTCCATGATGTTGGAACACTTTCTTGCTCCCAAACCTTTCCAAACAACGCAGTCAGTTCCTTAGCCAGAAAGTCACCACCATCTTTAAAAAGAGCCGGAGGTAAGTCATCTGGGCCAGGTGATTTATAACGTTTCAAGAGTTGGAGTTCCTTGCGGACTTCCGCCTCGTTTGGTGGATCAGTCGTCACCGGCCATGGGGAGCAGGACAAGCTGGTTGATGTTGCCGGAGCAACAGGCCAGTTGAACTGCCCTTCGAAAAATTCCGCCCATCGTCCAAGACGTCGACAGATGTTAGTGATTGGCAAGCCGTCATCCTCGTAGATTGTTTCACTCACACCAGACTTCTTGCTGCCAGTGGCTCGGATGAGTTGGAAGAGCTTCCGGCAGTTACCAGATGCAGCTGCTGCTTCCATCTCATTAGCACGCTCCGACCACCAGGCTTCCCGGTCCTTACACAAGCTTTGCCCGATTTCATTACGTAACAGCCTTCGTTTGTGGTCAAACTCACGGTCACCCGGAGTAGACCGACGGGCTTCCATCAGTTGTAAGGAGCCACAAGAAACCCAGTGCTTGTAAGGGGGGGCCATCTAAACCTTAGTATTAAATCCATTTTCTTAGTAGTGAACTGAAAGATACTTCATAGAGGCCTAAAAGAAAACTATGATCACGTTAGCGTGGACGACAGGTATCAGGATTCATGGTGGCTGTTATACGGGCCATATTGTTACACGGAATAAAAATCATAGGCCAGTGAAAATCGGTTAAGTACCAAAGGTAAGCCGCTATTTCTAAAGATCACAGGTGATGACTAATGGGCCTCATAAAAAATAATTTTTCGGCGAGACTAAAGAACATGGATGAGCCAATCAGAAGCTTTCGCGGGTTTTCAAGGTCACGGCGCTAAGTTCGGTACCTGACGCTTACGTACGGTCGGTTTACAACGGATTTTAGAGAAAACATGATAATTAGGCGTCTAGAAGATAAGTTATCATGAGATTTTGGCGCAAAATTCAATTATACATTTGGATAGAGTTGTGGCATTATACCTGATGTCAGTTCGTGATGAAAACCCTAAGTATAATTCCTAATCTTAACCATGAACTGTAAATCATAATTTGAATTTTTCACACGGGTTTATAACCCTCATAGAGTCTTAGTTATGACGTTGACACTCTCAGATTCAGTCTAGCGTCGCTCAAATGTCGTCCATAATTTATAGTCTCATCTTCAACCCTAAACCGTAACCCTAAACCATATCAACATACCGACAACACTGAAACTATGTGGTCGAGGCTGTAAGAATTTTCTGGAGTTTATCATGGTTCCAGAGGTCGACTACTATGGAGCCACAGGGATGAGTTCCTGTGCCGGACGCACTATGATTTTAGAGCTTCTGAACCTATATCTGACCTTGATAAGTTTTTGATTGATGTAAAAGAACAGTATCCCCTTTAATTTTTGAGTTTTGTATAATATATTTTTACTGTATGCTGTCTTCTGACTGGCTAATATTTCTCTAGGTCATTTAAGATTCGTTCAAAGGTCGTCCATGTCCTTTAGTCTCACCAATTTGTCAGGATGATTATAACTTTTGACAGCGACTTTTTGACTCACTGAATAGTAGGAAACTGTACTTGAGTTATACCGTACTTCTACACAACTTAAGTTTAAAAGTCAAACAGAAAAGATCAGAAACGCGGAGTGAAAACAAGTTTGAAAAATATAGATAGAACGACTAAGTTTTCCGTATTTCAGTATCATAACCAAGTAAATCTTAGAACCATAAAGTACAAAATTGCCAAAGAATCTAATGTGACATCAAGTATTGATAAAAGTTTAGGAGAATCATTATACTTGAAAAATTAGATTCAATCACTCAGAAAGTTAATATTACTAAATTATTACATTGCGTGTGACTTACTGGAACTCTATTAGGGTACTTAGCCTTGATTTTGGAGGAGTCCTGCTGTCTTTGCTCTATGAAGAAGTAGAAGAATTAAAACCAACAAACCGAAGGTATGGGTCTCTTTGAACTTGAAATTCATGATTTCTTAGTAAAGGTTGAGTAGCCCGCTACAAATATGGTGAGGACAAAATTTTCAACTCTAGTGTAGCTCAACAAAAACTCATCAAAAACAAACAACAATCGCAACCAGCTGAAAAAGAAGAGTTAGTTTCATTTTCTCGAATTTAGATGTAAATAACAGTTTTCAAGTTCCTTTAATACTTCCTGCGTATCGTCAGGAGAATATTAAAATAACTTGAAGATCGTTGTATTACAAGAGTAGGTAGATGGTTTTCCATGAGTTTGTGTGATGTTTAAATAAATCAGTGACTTCTTAGTATTGATGACTGTTGTAATTTTGAATTCCAAATACAATACATTCGTTCGGGCTCATCTGATACTTCTTGATTAAATTGCGTTATTCCTGGGATTACTAGTTCATACTACAATTCAAATACTTCTAATTATCATATTGGCGTCGCGACTGAGCCTGTGATGGAACGGTTAAATATAAATTCAGATTTTAATGCTTTTGAGGAGTACATGGAAAGGTTCGAAATCTGGGCTATGACCAAGGAAGATGATGAGGATTTTAATATTGTGGCCCATTTCCTTACATTCATCGGGAAAGAAGCATACAGCCTTATAAAGATTTTGGCACTTCCAGACAAACCGATTTCACTCCCCTATGCAACTCTCAAGCAACTTCTGTTGGATCATGTAAAGTATACAAATTCCGAATGCGGTAAGAAAGGAAAATCCGATAAAATGACTCGTCAGAACATCAGGAATTCCACTTATTCAAACAGTCGTCGTAGTTCGATGCGTAATCAAATTTATTCAGATAATACTTCATTGAGTTGTGAAACAGTCCATGATGATGAGCACAAGTTTAGTAAATGCATGTTCTGCGGCAAGTTTCACCCATGTAATTCATGTATATTTCGTAATTCTAAATGCTTTAAATGTGGTATAACTGGACATATTCAGTCAGTTTGTAATACCATGGTTCATTTCTCTGAAAGTAATGCTAAGATGGATGCTTCTTATGATCAGTTATCTTTATCTAGAAGAGGTATAACGTTATATAACAGTCCAGAGTTGAATGAAACCCAGAGTCATTGGGAGGCGAAAATTCTCAACCAATCAACTTATCAGATTTCTCATGTTATTGTGCCAGATATGGTTTGTCGTAATAATTCACATACTTCTGATGTAATTTCTTACAACTCTGAGAATAGAATGTTAAATGAGTCAAATCATGATCAAAAACCAAATTCAGTCATGGTAGATGTTGAATTCCCTGATGATCCATTACCTAATGAAACTCTTAATCAATTTGAGGAAAATATTTCAGAAGAATCGAATTCTGATATCATATCAAGTGTCAGTGGTCCTCATAATGAATTTATCTCTAATGATATTCCTCATGAATGTGAAAAATATGTTTTTTATGGGTTGAATTCTAGTCATATTTCTGATGTTATTGTGTCATATGTTGGATACTCTCACGAACAATGCATGTTGAATAGAATCCCTAGTCAGGGGTATAATGATACAGAGGGGATAGCAAAATTTTCCGAAGCAACCAGAGAACCAGTTTGCCCAGAAGTGAAGTTTGCACAGACAGAGAATCCAAATCAAGTCCAAGATTATCCTAATGAATATGAGGCAGATGAATGTTTTCTACTCGATTATTTCGCAGGTAAATCAAGCCTAATTGAATCACGTGTGTTAATTACATATATCAATGTATATCCATCTGTGTATTCTAATATGAATAACAAAAAGAATATGTATCATGATTTTTATTCAAGTCAAAGTCACATGATGGAATACCTCAAATTATATATCAGTGTTTATTCCCAAATACTCACATACAGTAGTCGGTGCGTAAGATTTGAGATAATGCAAATTGGGAACGTCATATTGGCTAAAACATTGCGAATCAAGGACCCAACATTATTTCGTGGGGGAGGATATTGTTGGAAAGTCCATGATGCAAATTCTATATATCAATGGTTTCACTACACAACCGACATGCTGATTGTATACAATTCTAGAACCCAGAGTGCATTCTAGATAATACAGAGTGTACATTCAATACACCATCGGACAGATGTAGGATGAACTTAAGAAGAAGACAAACAATCGATTACAGACACTTACACTTCAATTCGAGCAGTGGCGGATGTGATGTTTAAATAAATCAATGACTTCTTAGTATTGATGACTGTTGTAATTTTGAATTCCAAATACAATACATTCGTTCGGGCTCATCTGATACTTCTTGATTAAATTGCGTTATTCCTGGGATTACTAGTTCATACTACAATTCAAATACTTCTAATTATCATAGTTTGGTTGTATTCATAACTCGTGAATTGTTCTCTAGTTTGATGCATTCCGATTTGTGAAATGACTATTAAGAAAATAATGTGTAGCGGGTTAAAATATCTTCTTTTAGTTTCCATTTCAAGAATGTGTTAATCCAAGGCTTGTGTTACTACTGATTAGTGTCTACTGCTTTCCGGAGTAAATGTAAGTGCATTGTGTGTGCTTGCTAGGAAGTCGACTAATCCTTTTTCTTCTGTTCTTCATTTTTCCAAACATCCTCATACTTTACATAATGCTAATTTGCATGAACAAAGTACCTTCAGGTTAGGAGGGAGAGGGAGCACTACTCACTCAGCTGATGTGATCAAATAGATGACAGTAAGAAAAAGTAATACAAAATACTACAACAGACAAGGGGCAGGACACAAGATATCGTTAGACATTGTGGGGATAAGGAAAATGAATTTTAAAAAACTTCCTACACATAGGTATTCGACCGTCATTCTAGACGAAAGAAGATAATCTGTGAATACCTCCTGCAGAAATAATTTACTGAAAAAGCTGTCTCTGAGCCATTTACAATCTGAACTTATACAACTCTGGTCCAATTCGGTATAAGTACATTTGTCTTTGATACTGTAAAATAGATCTAATCCCAAATTTGTAGATTTGTCACGATGTGACGATCTAATCTATAAGATCTTACCCAGAAGTCACATCATCGTCTACACTGGCTCGTCCTATTATTACAATTGGCAACGCGGTGTTTAGCACTAGTTGAACCAGCAGTCTGTAATAGCGAAATTCTCCTCAACCGTAGCTTCAGTTAAGTGTCTATGCGGTATCCAATTAACTTCCGGGTTATTACTGAAGGTAATAAAATTCTTGCACCCAAGAAAGTCAGAAGGGTGTGGCAGCATTCTACCTATAATTGTGGAACAGTGTGCAGAAGCCGTCATCACACCTCTGTATGACCTGTTCGAGCCCACAGAGAATAGAAATAGTCCACCCACTTCAATTTGTAATGGAGATAAAAGAGACCTAGCCTGTTATAGACCAATTGCAGCGTTACCAATACTGTCGAAGGTAATGGAGGAATTGCCCAATGAAATAATCAGAAAATAGGTGAACAAAAACAGCATCCTCCGTGAACCTTAAAATGTGCTCAGAAAATTCAGGTCATGCTCATCAAATCATGGAATCATGCTAACAACTTTTTGCTGGCTTTGCTATTCTAAGAAGATAACTTATATCATGCTGACTCAGGCCTTTAAATCATTACTTTTCTTGCTTTAGACAAAACAATAAACGAGAGTTATGAGGAAAATTAACAGATAATAAAACTAATAGTTATCAGCGTTTATGAAAACTTAACTCTATTTCAATGCACTTTCGATTTTAGTGAATAGCCTTCCTGATTCTAACTTCAACTTTTCTCCAAAATTAGCTATTAAACTTTGCTTCACATCATAACCCCTTCATTCTTTATTACTGTATTCTCTTATATGGAGACGCTTCAACTATAATTCATTCCAGTAATAGCATCCAGTATGATTTTTGTTTGTTAGTCTATCATACCTTTATGCGTTTCACTAGAAACCGCTAAACATTGTCAAGGAATTACATCCAAATACCTTACTGCTCCTTTGTTTCTCCTGTTCAGTATCCCGCTCTCAATGAGCAGTCATGGAACTTCTCGAGACTGAAACAGACCTTACACGCACGTTTTTCAAGACCACAGCTCATACCAAGCGCCTTTTGATAGTTACTGTATAACAACCATAAACTTATTAAACAGTTGCATTGCATAAATACTGAGCAAGACAACGATTCTAACACTAAAATGCCGAGTTCCGACCAGACATGGGCACGTCATGGTCACAACGTGAACACGGTTTCATTTCAAAACATAACAAAAATTGTGAATACACAGTACAGTGCTATCGCAACAGACGACGTAGTTTGTATTCATGGAGGTTTTTAAATGTTCCTGAATGGTATTTGAAAGGTGAATGTATCCGGCTGTTGATGAAAGTTCGACGAGATTATTTTGGATTCGCACATCGTGTCGTTTTTGATCTCTCACACATTCATTATCCAACATCTTTTTGCGAGGGATCATATAGAATGAACTTTTTCGCTCTTTCTAATTGCTGTGAATATAATTTTCTTAAACTGTCAATAAAAACGAAACTCTGGTTTACAAAACCCTGTTCGTCATTTACCTACATAATTGATTCAATTCATACACAAGCGAACAAATGACTTTCTTTTGAACGAATAATCAGACGGTCAGATCACTATCACCGTATGCGGAGAACATTATAACTAGAAGATCATAAACCCAAGAGCCTCTCAAATATTTCTGAGCTTTTTGCTTATTCCTTTACCCCAAAACGACTACTTATTAGATATAGCTATATTCCGAATGTTAGAAGCCACTAAATTTGAAGGTAGTCAACAAGAGCTTCAAACTAGTCCATTGCTACCAAAGGTCGGATATGTCACATCCTTTTGGAATTCCATCTAAAGTAGCTGGTAAACTTATGAACATGGCCCTCAAAAGCTGAAATCATTCTTGCCTGACCATACAGAACACGATGTATTCTAATCCTGTAATAAAACATAGTGAGAAAGTCAAAAATAATCTGCTCTAACGACTTCCAAGAGTTCAGGTGACTGTTATAAAGTCCACAACTGATTATCGAGACAGGATAAGCAAATAGAACAGGGCACAATAGTTTATTTGA